CTGCTTAGGGTTAAGAAGTCTTCTTGAAAACAATTCTTTTATTATTTTTGGAAAATTCATATTCCATATGATCTCCCAACATATTATTCCTTCCTTTAGTAGTCAAATTTATTCAATCAGTGGTCCATACCTACTCACTTTTTCTTCTTTTCTAAATCATTAAGTTATTCTAAATCTATCCTTCTCTCTCTTCTATAAATTCCTATCCTTTTGTCTTTCCATGCTTCTTTCTAAATATCTCTGAGGAGAGATTCACTGAGTTTCTCATTTTTGCTACTGTATTTTTAAATTCTGGAATTTCTATTTTCTTCAGATATGCTATATCATTTTTATTATGTCCAGTTCTCTTGAAATTTTCAATATCGGCATTTACCCTTTGAACAGAGTAAGTGTCTTAGCTCAGGCTGTCATAACAAAATACCATAGATTGAATAGCTTAAACAGCAGAAATTTCTTCTCTCACAGTTCTAGAGGGTACAAGTCCAAGATCAAGGTGCCAGCATGGTTAGTCTTGGTTGAAAGTTCTCTTTCTGGCATCTAGATGGCCACCTTCTCACTGTGTCTTCACATTGAAAGTGGAGGAAGAGAGGGAGAAAGGAAGAGAGAGAGAGACGGAGAATGGCAGAGGGAGAGAGGAAGGAGAGGAGAAGCACTGTGATGCCTCTTCTCATAAAAGCAATAACCCCATCATGAGGGTTCTGCCCTCATTACCTTATCTAAACCTAATTCTCTTCCAAAGGTCCTGTCTCCAAATACCACATTGGGGGTTATAGCTTCAACATATGCATTTTCAGGGACACATTTCAATCATAGGTAGAACTCATGTTCTTCACCATTCATTCTACACCAACAATACCAAAAATCTTAACTCATTCCCACATCAACTCTAAAGTCTACAGTTCAAATTCTCATAAATATTATCCAAATGAAGTACGGGTGAGACTCAAGATATGACTTGTCCTGAGGCAAAATTATTCTCCACCTATGAGCCTGTGAAACCAGCCACACTATGTGCTTCTAAAATACTATGGTGGGAGAGGCATAGGGGACATATTTCCTTCCAAAAGGGAAAAATCAGAAGAAAGAAATGGGTGATGGAACCTAAGCAAGTCCACAACCTTGCAAGGCAAATTCCACTGGATCTTAATTCTTGAGTATAGTCTTCTTTGGCTTAGTGTCTTGCTTTCTAAGCCCACTGGGGTGGCAGCATCATTCCCACGGCTCTGCCCCTTTGACTCTACAGTGCCCCATCCCCATGGCTCTAGGTAAGTGTCTGCTCCCTGTAGCTCTGCTGACCCAGGGTCCCACCCCATAGCTCAGATGAGCTGGGGTCCACTGGGTGATCCTTCCTCCAAAGCTCATGGTGAAAGCCACTTGGCCTGTTGAAACTGGGACAATGACCCTGATGACCTCTGGATCTCCTGTGGAATCATTTTGCCTTCTTCTTGAAGAATAGTGCACGTTTGCAGCTGAATAGTTCTATCATCCCATCCTGTCTAATTCAAGAAGTCCAATCAATAGGCTTCCTTAATTTCATCCTGCAATGTTTCTGCTCATATAATCCCATACACTTATCAAATGTCTGTTAACCGACCCTTAGCATTCCCATCAGAAAGAGCTTTCTCTTTTTTTCCAATATGAACAGGCTAAGAATTTTCCAAATCTTCACATTCTGATTTCTTTTTGCTTAACAATTGCTTCTTCAATTAATCTCTTGCCATTTGCATTTTACGATAAGCAGTCAGGAGGAACCAAGTTGCTCCTTTAACACTTTGCTTAGAAATATCCTCAGCTAAATATCTAATTTCATTGCTTGCAACTTCATCCTTCCATTAAACACTACAGCACAGTTCAGTTAAGGTCTTTGCCATTTTATAATAAGGGTCACCTTTCCTCTAGTTTCTAATAACATATTCCATATTTCCATATGAGAACTCACCAGAATCACCCTTGATGTCCATATATATATAGTATATACCTCAAAACTCTTCCAGCTTCTACCCATAACCAGTGGCAAGGCCACTCCCACATGTTTAGGTAGTTGTTACAGTAGTACCCAACTCCTGGTACCAAAATCTGTCTTAGTCAGCTGGGGCTGCCATGACAAAACAACATAGACTGGACGGCTTAAACAACAGAAATGTATTTTCTCATCGTTCTGGAGGATAGAAGTCCACAGTAGTAAACATAGTTATTTTAAAGTCTGTGTCTAATCACAAAGGCATAAGAACGATACAATGGACTGTGCAGACTTGGGGGGAAGAGTGGGAAGGGGACGAGGGATAAAAGACTACAAATATGTTGCAGCGTATACTGCTCTGGTGATGGGCGCACCAAAATATCACAAATCACCACTGAAGAACTTACATGCAACCAAATACCACCTGTACCCCAATAACTTATGGAAAAAATAAAGTCTGGGTCTAACAAATCCAATATTTTAGATCCTTTTATGTCTGTTTCTGTCATCTGTTGTTTTTGCCGCTTGTTCAGATTGTCATGTCTCCTCATGTACCTGAATATTCTTGATTGTGTTCTAGAAATTGTGAAAATAGAGGTCTAGAACAATGTTAACTTCCTGTAAAGAGAATTTACGTTTTATTTCTGGCAGGTTCCTTGAGGCAATAGAAACCAAGAACCTCGTTAAGTTCAATTTCTGGGATTGAGATTTTTAAAATCACTCAGATGATGAGAAGCTAAACTACATTATACACCAGGGATAGTTTACTTCCAGTCAACCCTTACCACTAGGGCATAGCCTTTTAGCGTCCCTACCCAAATGAAGAAGGTTTACCAGGGCCCCATCCTTGACTCAAGTTTTTTGTCCCCCTGGTTTTGCAAAGCTTTTAAAAATACTGCTCAGTCTTTCAGCCACATTTTCTAGAATCTTCATATTCTCCCAGGAAAAAAGTAGCTCCAAATGCCAGACCCAACCCTCTAAATTTCCATCTTCTCCTAGATCTTGGCCCAGAAATTCTTCACTATTTATTAGCTCTCTGTTCAAGCTAATTAAAAATACGCATTTTTAAATACGTATTTTAAATCAGTGGTCCATGCCTACTGCCCCTTTCCCTAGCCATCATTGAATAATCTCACATCTGTCCTTCTCTGCTTCCCTCTGCAAGAAGGAAGAGGGAAGATATACTTTGGGGACAGCTAAGCTGCATGTTCCAACCATTTAATTTATTGGTTGATCACCTTTGTTGAGTGTCTGTAATTAGCCTGACAACTAGACTTTCTTGCAACTAGATTTTATAATTATTATATACGCTTTACATAGGCTTTAATGAAATACATTTTACTTTAAGTATGAAATAGAAGATAATTTTTGTTCTCCTCTGGCTTGATTTCACAGGTCACTATGGATGTCATGGAGTAGGTATCATAATCAGAAGTAAAGGCAGATGCATTCAATGCAAACTGTGTAAATTATTAATCTTATTAAATTTCCATGTCAGAAAAATGACCACCCCAACCTTAAGGCTTGCTTTTGTCACAGTAATAAGGTAGGCAAATGCTTTGGTCCTTGAATTTACATTTTATAGACAATATACAACATAACATGTAATAGATGTTTTATATTTTCAATTATTTCAGAGGTTATTTTACTATTAAAGTCTAAAGTTTTTCTGCTGTAATTTACAGCCACAGTTCGATATTTAAGAGTCACTTATTAGCTTTCTCTCTGCAGTATTTCTTACCTTCCCTCTCATCTCAACCTTCCTTCCATGATTCCTTTTGATTGAGACTTAAGATTCCATTCTATTGGACCAAGGACTGAAGCAGAGAAATTATTTGTATAAGATTATACAATTGGTGGCAGAGTTGGCCAATACACAAAACTTCTGAGTGCCAAACTAAAATTTCTCTCTAGCCCTGGTACTTTCCTCAACCTGATGGTTGGCATACCTTCAGGGCAAAACAGCAGAACATGTGCCTCTACCACAAAAGGGTTGAGGGAGAAAGTATAGACAAAAAGTTCACTCCATTTCCCTCCTCATGAGAATTTTAGTTTTAATTGACTCCCTAGCACTATTCTCCTAGTAACCTGATAAGGTGATAGGTGTCAACTGTGTTACTGAGCAACTTGAACTACTTAAAAATGACCCCTGATCGGCAAATTCCATCTGAACTGGGAGGAATGAATACCTAATAGAAAACCATAGCTTTGAATTTCTGTGAGTATGTTGACTTTTGTAGCTGGGCAAATCCACGGTGGGGACCCTGGAAGCTATGCCTATGGAATTATTACAAGAGATTCTGGCCCCTGGGGTGTGAAACTTTTACGCCAGGGCAGCTCCTGTACCCCCCCACCCACCTACCTCTTTTCCTTGTATTGTATCTGCACTCCATAAACTAGGGACTAAAGAAAATAGCTATGTGTTCTTCTGCATGACTATGGCAAGGGCTCCTACAGGAAGAGAAATGTCTGATGTTGCCTTGCTGGAAGCTGTTTCCTGTCTTATATTTTTCTAAGTACATTCATGCCAAATATGGTCTATGTTAGTCTTGTGAGTATGACAGCCTTTAGTTGAGCCCAAGACCAACCCCTGGTGGGCACTGCAGAAGGTGTCTGAGCTAGAATTGGGCAGGCTGTGTGTCTCATGCCATGCTTACAACTAGCACAATGCATTAGGGCATACCTTGTCTACTTCCATAAGAACAAGTTTTTTTAAATGTATAACACTGACACGTTCTGTAGCTTCATTTGACAAGGTACATACACACTAAAAGAACCCATAAAAATAATTTAGAGTCCTATTTTTTGTATCACAAGAGTCTATTTGCTGTAATATAAACTCTAATTTTCTAATAATCTCAACAGTAGATGCTATAACCTAGAGGAAATGTGCCAATTTAAACAGAAGTCCTCCATTTCTTAAACAACAATCTTCCATTTCTTAAACAGCAATTATGATTGTTAGAGCACAGCACAAAGCTGAACAATGCCGCTTTTCTTCCTTTCTCTGCTTTTTTTCCAGGTGGAAAATCAAACTCACCTTAGCTGTTGTTCTCATTTTGAGTTTCTTTCTCAAGTAACATGGCAGCATTTGAGGCCTCATCTTGCTGTCCCTCAGTTAATCTCTTTTGAACCATGCTTTCTGTGCAACTGTGGATGATCTGATGGGCTGCAAGAATATGTTTCCGCTGTGCGTTCCTCACTGTGCCAAAGTAATAGAAAAATTTTCACTCTGAAAGTCTGAACGAAACCATTCCCAAATGTTTCAAGAGAGTCATGATAGAAATAATTTTGCAAACTAAAGGTAAACCCAACCCAAATCTAATTTCTTTCTGCTCCCTCGGTTCCCACTCTCTGGTTCAGCCCAGTCATACTCCTTCCCACCAGGCTTGCCTCCATTCCACTCCTCAGCAGTTTCCCTCACCTGGAATGCCTGTACTCCAAAACCTGGAAAGCTCACGTCCAAGATCCTCCAGGAAGTCTCCTCTGACTACATCAGCCCAGATTTACCACTTACCGCACTTCAGTTTGTACCAACCTATTCAGCATTGAAGCACTTCATGTGAGTTACATTTTGTTTGATACCTAGAGTGTAAATAACTTACAAATAAAGACCTTGTCTTATACTTCTTTTTGAGCCTTAGTTCTTAATGTGGAGGGGACTTACTGATTGATGATGAGTTTATGAGCTCATGGCTTTAGAAGGTAGTCCTAGCTCCAAATTCTAAGACTATTCACTATCAGGTAAGCACCTAAGACCCTGGAAAGGAGTAGTGATGATGATGATGTTAGCAGTTAGCATTTGTCCTTACTTAGTGCCAGGTACTGTTTTAAGCAGTTGACATGTAATTCTTCATTTAATCCTCCTAAAAGATAGTATTTTAATATCCTCATTCTCAGAAGAAGAAACATGGACACAGAGACATTAGATAATTTACCTTTTTTTGATCCAATTTACGTTTTTCTGATCCATTGGCTTTTTAAAAAGTGCTATATCTCGAAATCGTCTGTAATATTATCTTAATTTTGGGTAAAGAGTGTATATATAATACATATGGTTCTCATTTGAAAAGAGAAAAAAAAAGGTCCTAGTGTGCTCCCTGTTCATATGGCTCTTTTGATTTGGCAAAAATATAAAGGGAAGAGCTAGGGACTCACTCAACTTGACCGCAGATAAGTGCCACTGGATTCCTTTCACTCAAGTCTTCCTCCAGATCCTCAACTCAGACTCCCAAGGTGAGGGAGGGGATCACAAACTAGTAAATTTTTTTTTTTTTTTTTTTTTTTTTTTTTTTAGACAGGGTCTCACTCTGTTGTTCAGGCTGGAATGCAATAGCACAATCTCGGCTCACTGCAGCCTTCACCTCCTGTGCTTAAGTGATCCTCCCACTTCAGTCTCCCGAGTAGTTGGGACTACAGGTGCATGCCACCACACCTAGCTAATTTTAAAATATTTTTTGTAGCAACTGGGTCTCTCTATGTTGCCCAGGCTGGTCTCAACTCCTGGATTCAGGTGATCTTCCCACCCCAGACTCCCAGAGTGCTGGGATTACAGACTTCAGCCACCACACCTCGCCACAAACTAGTAATTATTAAACCCACTGTTTTCCTCCTCTCTTTCAATCCTAGGGTGGAATTCAACCAAGGGTGTAATGGCTTTGAAGCAGCCTGGCCTCACTTTGAACCCAGGAGAAGTGGAAAGGAGTTGCATATTTTCTTAAGGTCCTAGAAAACATAAGGTCCTTTTGTAACATAATGTGACACAGAAATATATTACTTGATCTGAAAATTAATTTTTTTGTATAAGCACTATCATACGCTACTGATGTGAGTCAGCGATCATTTTGTGGGGCAATATGGTAATATCAAATTGGGAGAACAATCTTTTTGTAGGAAATTTGGTACTATCTATCAAAATGTAAAATACACATACCTTATATCCCAGCAATTGTACTGTTAGGAATTTACTCTCAGAAGCATGGCCGGGATGTGTAAAATATATTGATTGAAGCACCGTTAGTAACAGGAAAACAAACTGGAAACAAACTAAATGCTTATCCTTAGGGGGTACTCGTTTAAAAATTACACTACAGCTATGCAATGGAAAAATCAGGCATTTCTTTGTCCTCTCCAAATGTGTTAGAATTCCACCATTTCTTTATCCCTGGTTAAGCAAATTGAAATGTTAAGCATTTTTCTGCTTAAACCTGTCTGGAATTCCCCTGTATCATTTTCAATGCTTTTGAGCTGCTATTTCACTTAAATATGGTTCTTCTGGTTGCTCCCCTCTGTCTAGGATCAAGCCTGCCATCAACAGTCTCAGAGCGATGGAAGAATCTTACTTTTCTGTTTAAGATATTATTTTCTCTTTCTCTATTGACTGAAAGCATCAATCTTTAAAAACATGCCACCAGTGACAAATAATAAATTAGGATATTTATACTTGGATGGAGTTCCAGCAGAAACAAGCTATTTGGGGTGCAGGCAGAGCAGCAGAGTAGATTTAGACCTTTCCCGCACCCCTGCTTTTTAATATTCACGGTTCACGTGTCCTGCCTCCATAAGGCTGCTACAATGTGCAAATCTTTTATGTGCTCATTATCTGTTTTATGCTTTTAAAAAAAAATAAAAAATACACCTTTTCTGAAAACTTGGGAACATCCTTTTAAACAAGGTTTGGATTTTGATATTGTCACTCTTATTAGAACTACGTCCCATCTGTATTAGATTTGATTATATTCTAGAATCAGGTAGCATGAAGAGAACCTGACAAACTCTGAAATAAGAAAACTCAGTGATCCTCCTTCAGAAATTTCCCCATCCCTCTGTTTAATTTTAAATCTCTGGGATATTGAAAATAAGTTACATATTTTAAAAATCCTAAAGTAAAGCATTTACATTGGCTTACCTTTTTCTTTGACAAAGTATTTTTGCACCTCTGGGATCAGAAAACTATAAACCAACTCAGCAACAATCTCCTCTGACTGCAGATAGGTTCGGCTAAAAAATATAAAACAAATTGAATTATTTCTTTGGTTTTTTTACTTGAGCTGCTGATTTATGCTTTCCTGCTGTGTAAGCAACTCCATTCAAATCCCAACATCACCTTTTCCTTGATTAAGTGATCTGAAATATCACATTCCTGGCAAGTTTGTTTAACTCCATAAAAAAAATTTGGATTTGACCCTGTCCTTCAGTTACCCTGCCTGCCAGGAAGAGAATGTTGGAAACACAGCTTATACATAGAAGCCAGAAACCTTGGGATGAAGTCCCAGTAATGTTGCACATACGTATTCACATTGTTTTTATGCTTCCGAGTATTCTTAAAGTAAGTAATGAGAGTAATCCAGACTGCAGAGGATAACTGAGAATACATACAGAGGTACACGCATATTGGCTTCTCAGGAGTTATGTTAATAAAACAATGGACCCTGAAGTATGAGTTATTTGTTTCTCCTTGGTGGTGAAATTGTAAGCTCTTGAAAAAATATATATGAGTATCAGCAAATAGGCTGTCCATTCTACAATCTGTTCTCTTGATACACACCGGCTTTCCATTTCATAAGCAATGTCATTGATTTTCTCAGCCATCTTCTCTATTTCTGCCCTGGCTTGTTCTTCTGCAGTATTTGCTTCAGTATTCAGTATTATGTCTTCTAGGTAGGAGCTTATAGTACTATGGTGAACTTTAACTACCTGCAAAATACAATAATACCCTCACTAAAACAGGTATGCTGTTGTAAACAACACAAGAAAAATACACAAACATTGGGTTAACTTTTTTTAGCTCATATATTTCATTTATTAAGTCAACAGTCCCTTCACTCATCATTCATTTTCTTTAGCATCTCATCAGTCTATTTCTCATCCACCTGCCTACTCATTCTGGGCAGCCCACACCCATTTAGCCCATTTCAGAATTATGGATCTTATTGGGTGCGGGGGCAAGACAGCATTGCTGAAGGATCATGGGCTTCAGAGTCAATAATGCTGGTTCAAATCCTGGCTTTGTTCTTACCAGCAACGTGATTTGGTCAAACTACCTAACAGAAGAACAGACTAGGAGGTATTCTCCAGTATCCTTTCCCTCCTTCCTCTTACATAATAGAACCCCTGGATTTCAGCTAGGCAAACAGGTGCCTAGAATAAAGACTACATTTCCTAGCACCCACAGGAGCTGGATTGGCCGTATGACCACATTCTGACCAAAGAAAGGATTCTTACAGGGAAAGACCTGGCTTCTTTTTTTCTCTCTTCATTTCTCCTTTCATGAGGACATAATGCTGGAACACCAGCAATCATCTTAAATTGCCAGAAGGGCTACGACTTAGGAAGAGAAGAGCAGAAAGCTAGAAGGATCCTGGGTCTCTAATGAATTTATTGAATTATCATACCAGCCCTTGACTGCTTCTTTTTAAGGCTTACTTGATATCACGAAATAGGATACAGATTTTAAAAGTGCATTGGAAGCAAACTCAGAGATTAGAAAAATAAAACAAAATAAAAAGTACAGAGCACATAAATGTACAGTGTAATGAATTAGGGTAAAGTCAGAACCCATGTACTATAGTAACTGCCAGTATCTTAGAAGGCCACCATGGTTTCTTCTTTTACTACAGCACCTTCCCACTTTCATGGTAAACACTTTGTTTTCTCTATATTTTTGCTCCCTAAGTATGTAACCATAAGCAAAGTCGTTTGGTTTTTCCCGTTTTACAGGTGTATGCACATAGAAAGATTAAGCAACAACTGTGGCATAGTTTTGTGTGTATATGTATGCTGATTATCAGCTTCTTAGAGGTAGGGCACTTTTCTGTTTCATGTCTAAATATATCTTTGTATCTGAGATAATGCCTGGGACTCAGTAACAATTCAGTACCTGTTTCTGGATTGGCACTTTGGCACAATTCTGAGTATATGATACTGTACACCTATGTGTAAAACATCAATCTTCAATTCCTATGCCTTCTCTATGGGAGACTCTCAATGGCCAGTTGAATACAGTATCAACCAAACAACTACCCCACCAAAATATATCTGCTGAACGTCTATTAGGTACGGGGATCTATGCTGTGTTGTGCAAGGCACAAAGGGAATATACAATATTCATGCTGTCATAGAGCCCACCCTCTTATTCAGGAAGCAAGTTGCATCTATATGGATCAATTAGACAGCTCAGTCATGTAATAGTAGAGAGGTGGAAAGTTTACTATGGTCCATCCATAGCCATATATGTACCTGTGTGTTTATGTATATCTTTATAAATGTGTAAATTTCTGGACACATTTGTGCGTGTATGTACATGAATAAGGAAACGTGTGGCTATGTGTGTTCCTCTATGTCTTGCTAATATTTTGCACACCAGATATTTGTAAATATGTCCTCATGTATGTGCCTGCAAAATTGTATATGTATTTAAAGATGAGTCTATGACTTTATGTCTGTGTTTCTCACTATCTATATGCTATATTTTAGAAATTTATTAAATATTACATTTCTGTTTTATAATTTATGTGCAAGCATATTTCTCTTCAAGAGAATCTGTTTGAATGGAGGTTGGGGAAGTAGGATGGAAAATAGTCATTATATTTTAATTAGAAAGGTTGGGAATTAAAATGATGGATGATATTTGAATCTGTGGGTTCACAGTGGGTACATTTTTTACCTAAGTGATTCTTAAATCAGGCTAGAAGGGCTATCTTAACCCTTTCCTGCCCTTGCTAGACAGAGCTGATGTTTTCTGCCATCATTCCCATTTAGAAGATGTCTTCCTAAGAAGCTTTTTACCAGCTTCTTCCTTTCTCTGCTTTTGTGTATAGTAGCTCCTCTGTTCCATGGCTTCTTATTCTCACCCCCAGCTATTCTTCCCATCTCCAGCAGTTCTTCCTTAGTGATATTAGGTAGATATGGCAAGTTCTGATTTGCCAATAATTTCTAAATCTCAGTAACTCTTTTTGAAGAAAAGTGTGTTAAGATTGGTAGGAGGCTACAAGCTGGTCACCAACTCCCAAATTTACATCTTCAGCCAAAACCTCGTTTCTAAATTCCATCTTGTAGATCCACCTACTGAAACAATATCTCTGCTTAGATGTCCCAAACTAAATATAAATTGATTTCCTGATTCTTCTCCTGCCCCTACGCTTATTCCTCTCTCAACTTTCCTACCTCAGGAAATAATACCATCATCTTCCAGTTGCTCAAGCCTGACACTGGACGTAATACTCGACTTCCTGTGTCTCACTCGGGCCTTCACTACTTCAACAGCTACTTCCTGGCCGCCTTGTTCTCCCCTCTGTCCTCCCTCCAGCCTGTGCTCCACACAGCAAGTGGAGCAACCGGCTTAAAATGTGTCTCTGGGCTCTATTTGTTTCCTTCATGGAGCTCAATACATTTTCTAATTCTATACACAGGTGCGTATTATGTGTTATTTAAGCTTTAGGAGAGAACGGATCGTGTCCCGGTTTTTTTCCCCTCCAAAGTTTCCCACAATGCCTATGTAGAGTGCCTGGCATACAGTAGGAACCCGATGCATAAACAAAAGCCAAATGCCATTTTATGTTATGAGCATCCTTTGGTTTGACTTGGCTCCTTCTAGGCAGCTTCCATACACCCAGCTGCCCCTACTTGCCTCCTTAAATATCTCGTCCTCCTCCCGCAGGCGCTGTTTTTCCACCTGGCGCCGACCACTCTCTTCAGCCTCTCGTACCCGCCGCTGGCGCTCGGCCAGCATGACAAAGGCATGGATCCTCCTTTCCTCCTGCAGTCTCACCAGCTCTTTGGACAGGAAGTCAAACATGTCTGCCAGTGCCCTTCCTTCCAGTCCAGCCAAATGGTTTTCAACCAGTGACACCTTGAAAAGATTAACATAACTTTAAGGACACAAATTCCACTATGAGTGGTGATTATTAGAAGAGGCACCGGATTACTCAAAACTCTTGGCAGTCAATTCACTTTCAGAATGCATTTAATTTTTATTGGGAATATTACCTCTCGATTGACTCCATCCCAGGTACTTATGAGGAAAACAGAGGCGTAAGAAAGTCGATTGTTTGGTCAGTCACTGATGGACCACAGCCCTCAAATAAGCAAGAGAATTTAGCAAGACATTTCTGTTAGTGACCAAGGAGAATGGGTTTTTTTCCTTTCAATTTTATCGACAAGGTAAAGTGTGTCTTCCCAGACATGAAGGGAAATGTCAAGTTTTTATTAAAGATAATATTGGAGTTTAATCAAATTGAATCTCCTAGAAATTCACTCGTGATACCTGTTAATTTTTCAATATCTTTCCTTTCACATAAGTTAGGAGTTAAGATCTTGAATAACATGAAAGTAGAAAACCTTGGTATTTTTTAATCTTTTCATAACTTTGAAGTCATTAACAACAATCTTTGAAATAGCACAGGAATGGCTGGGCATGGTGGCTCAGGCATGTAATCCCAGCACTTGGGGAGGCTGAGGTGGGTGGATCACCTGAAGTCAGGAGTTTGAGACCAGCTTGGCCAACATGGTGAAACCCCGTCTCTACTAAAAATACAAAAATTAGCCAGGTGTGGTGGTGCGTGCCTGTTTAATCCCAGCTACTCAGGAGCCTGAGGCAGGAGAATTGCCTGAGCCCAGGAGGCAGAGGTTGCAGCAAGCCAAGATCGCTCCACTACACTCTAGCCTGGGTAACAGAGTAAGACTCCATCTCAGAAAAAAAAAAAAAAAAAAAAAAAAAAAAAAGCACAGGAAAAAGACCATATGTCCATCTAATCACTGAGGCAAAATTAGGAACCCATTGAGCTCTCTGCCAGAAGTCAGCTACAGTGCCTATTTATGAATCCCTGTGTCCTGGCTTTGACATATGGAGAAGAAAAGTACTTAAGATGACTTTGCAAATTCATCCCCTTTCCTCTCCTATCCTTGGTTGTAAGGGAAAAGGGCTCATCTTCCAGTCACATGCCACCTTCTCAGTGACAGTTCTCCCTCTGTGCTCAGCTCCCTTCCTGGTTTCTATCTGAAGGGAGGGAATACTCAGTTCTCAGAGGCCATGGGACTATGGGTAAAAGCATCAGTCAAGTGTGGTTGTTGGCCCCAACACCACCCATCTTCATCCTCACCTGCCTCCTAGCCCACAGACTTTCTAACCACAAAGTTCAACTTTATTTATATAGTAGGGAGAGATGGAAAGAAAGGGCAAAGCTAAGAGCATCTCACTACTCCTTCCGTTCATAAACAGTAGATACTCAGCCCAGAGATCACAAATAGATTCTCTCCTTATCTGCAGGGAGCATAAGCTCCCTCACTCGGGGTCAGGTGCCACCTTGAAAATCCTGAGGTGGCTAGAAATCCTGCTCAAGTTTAGCCTCTTCTCAGCAAGAAATCTGGGTATGCACAGGCAGTACAATCTAACTTGAAATTAAGGGAAATGTTTAGGGAGGGGATTCTGCTGTAGTCACAGAAAGTACTGTGTTACATAATTGGGGGTTGTGCATTTTCTGGACTGTTTTCCACAGAAATATAAGAGAAGGGGAAAAGAGACAGACCAACATTGCTGCAGGTATACATGAAGTGCCCACTCCCTCAGATCCCTGCATGCGTCCAGGGTGTATCCAGGTACAACTGAAGGTAAGCAGAGTGAGTCCTTGGCTAAGTGACAGCTTTGCCCATTAACTCCTCCCTTAGCTGTAAGCTGACACGATTTCACCCACGCATATATCCACTAAATGGAATAAATGAACTGAAAAGCCTGGGTTAGCTTAGCTGTGCCCACTAAAGTCATGATCAGAAACCTGAAAGGGCCAAGGGGGGCATTTTATCATCCACGGTCTCAGGGCCTAGCGCCCCCAGGGCATTCTGTTCCTTAGCTGAGCTTTTCCAGGACTCTAGGACTTCTAGATTCAGGGACTCCAGTGTTCACATTCTCCTCTTCCTTCTCTGGTTCCTCTGTTGGATCTCACAGCCTGTGGCTTGCTTCCTCCCCATCCTGCCTCACTCCCCAAAAGTTCCCCAAGCCCAGCAACCATCCATGGTGCTGCTGTCGTGTGAAAGAAAGAAAGTTGTGGTTATTTCCAGGCTGCTTACTATTTGTGCTCGACTCCCACATAACACAAGAGTTATGTATGTTGCTAAAGGGGGGTCATATTAACTTTAATTATTACTTCCCTATAACACTAAATTCTGTGCAAATTGATCCTTTTTCAGATTGACTTACAGAAAAGTGGGAGAGGGAGTAAAATAAAGTGTAACTATACTATGTCAATAGCATTTAAAAGTGTGTGTATACATAGACAAACATTGGAAGAAAATAGGAAAAATATTTACAGTTGTTGGTTTGGAGCTGTAATTCTTAGCTGTGTCAGGTGGCACAGAGCTGGGAGGTCACGATGAAAGTCACCACATATCATGAAACAGTAACATATTTAATACGCAATTTAACCAGCACGAGCTATGACAGTTCTAAAACTCCAAAATAAATGCTAATATTTTAAGATAAATCTTATTTCTCACTTTTTTTCACGTTGCTTTTGTTATTTATTCAGTCTGCAAAACCCTCACTAACTGAAATACAGTAGTCACTGGATATTTGTGGAAAAAAAGGAAGGAAAAAATCTTAAAGTTGAAAAGAATGCATTATTTTTGTTTTGTTGTTATTGTTTTGCAAATAAAGAAACAATACCACCATATTCAAATCAGTAAGGGCACATCCCCAATCAAATTAAGGACAACAGCAGCATTATTTAAGAATTCCAGCACTTTGGGAAGCCGAGGCAAGTGGATCACCTGAGGTCAGGAGTTCGAGACCAACCTGGCCAATATGGCGAAACCCCATCTCTACTAAGAATATGAAAATTAGCCAGGCATGATGGTGCATGCCTGTAGTCCCAGCTCGGGAGACTGAGGCAGGAGAATCACTTGAACCCATGAAGCAGAGGTTGCAGTGAGCCAAGAGTGCGTCACTGCACTTCAGCCTGGGCGATAGAGTGAAACTCCGTCTCTCACACACACACACACACACACACACACACAGCTGACAGAGTGATGGGATTGTGGGGCAGTTTCTTTTTCACCGTTTCATGAATTTTTATTAGAATATTGCTGTGCCATGATAAAATCAAGGGAGAAAATTTAACAAGAAAGTAACAAGAAAAAAAAAGGAAAACCTTGTGCTCATGCAAGTTCCTCTGCCGCTGTAAGGCCAGGGTCACTTGCTTCTCGGCTTTTTTCACCAGCTTTTCATCTTCTTGTAGTGCGTGGCAGGTGCGCAACTCCTGGATCAACTCCAGTCGCTTTTCTTTCCCTTCAAACATCTGTATCAAATCAAATCAAATCAAATCAAAGAGAGACCTATAAGTTACCACCCCTTTGTGTCAAGCACTAGGAGTCACACGCAGTGATTTGTGAGACACTTGTGAACAGTGGGTTCTGTCCTGCCTTTTGGGTTCCACAGAGAGGATGTGTCCCACAGAGCTAGAGTTCAGCCCTCTTTTCTGTGCCTTCAGCTTCTCAGGCAGAGAATGGGCATAGTTTTCAGTGAGCTGTACTTAGTTTCTGACAATACCTCTCAAGGACAAGATGACAACTCTAGGGTCATATTAAGAAACCAGAACCTTCCCCTCATTTCCTGTGCTCCTTCGATAATAAACCTGAGGATGGCATTTTTCATGGCCATATTTCCTTTTCCAATAAATCTGTCCCTGGTTTGTGATAATCTGTTGCCCGAATTTAACTGTGGCATTTCTCTTGGGAAAATACTGAAAGGAGAGTAACGAACAGTGCTAAACACAAGTTATTCATCCAGTTGAGTTACTCATCATATCTGAATCTCTTATGAGTTATAGCTGTCTGGGGAAAAAAATTAACTGGGGCTTTATATCAGTCCATTTTTTACGTGAAGTGTGCCTGCTCCAGCAACACAAATAATCTGGCTGAGGCTTTACAGTCAGGAAGACCAGAGCGGAATTTGCTGGCAGATAACTATATCTCCCTCAGACTCATATTACTTGCCTGTAAAATGAGATTATGGATAGGAAAAAAAATGAGACAATACATGTAGTGCAAAGAATAAATAGTGTGGGCATATAGTAAGGGTTCAAAACCATAGTTCATTATTTAGCTATTTCCTTTATAATGTAGGTATCACCAGACATACGTAAACTCAAATAATTGTATTATGACTATGTTAAAAATTAGGGAATCCACCTAGTTGATAATGCTTAAATAGCCAAAATTCAGGTGAGAAAATGTATGGATTTAACAATTCCAAGGAAGAAGTCAGTTTCACACTGCCTTAGTTACAACATGGCAAATAGCAGGTAGGTCCTTCCTGCCTTTCTCCTTGACACTGTGCCACCCACCTGGACAAACGATGTCACCAGAAGGAAATGGGACACCAGAAGGAAATGGGTAGTCAATTTAAGAGTTTAGCTGAATAGGGTAGCAGGGTGCAAAAGGGAATTCACTCCAAGGAACCAAGCACATATGCATTCTAAAAAAATTATTCTCAAAAGAGAAACGCCGGGCCAGCAGTTGGACCTACACACCATGTTCTGAACGACTCTGCCCCGGAGTAACTTTTGAAGGTAGATCACAGCCATTTCTATTTCTTCTTCTTCCTAAAAGAACAAAGGGAAAACCAAGCAGCTTGAGAACTGCAGTAGTCCAAGCATCAAATATTCTTTTGAAGACTTATTTCAAGCAAAACAGACTGTGCCAGATGCCGAAAAGATTTAAAGAGAAATAAAACATGGTCCCTGCCCTTATTGAACATATACTATTTTAATGTTACTTACATTAAAATTCATTATTTCCATCATTAACAAACCATATTACAAGCAAAAAATTCACGCCCTGCCATGCTATCCCTACAAATGAAGCCACTTTCATTTCTTTATATTCCTTTCCAACAAAATCTTTCTTGAAGCAACAAGTATTGCTGATAACATCATTTTGCAATAGGATTTTTCACATTTGATCATCAGTAGACAAAAATACACCTAGTCTATTGTCAGAGTAAAGTACTTCTCACAAGAATTCAGCTATGCTGATAAAATCAGAATATAAGAGACAAGGTTAACCATATATAAAAATCATCTTAAAAACTGTGTGTCCAAAGCAGAAAAAGCAAGGTCTGGAAATCTAATTAAGGTTCCTTTGAATGTAAAAAGAAAACAGCAGTCTAATCGATGACATTAACACACATGAAAGACAATGTGTCAGGCTGAGTGCAGTGGCTCACGTCTGTGATCCTAGCACTTCGGGAGGCTGGAGCAGGTGGATCACCTGAGGTCAGGAGTTTGAGACCAGTCTGGCCAACGTGGCAACACCCCATCTTTCCTAAAGCTACAAAAATTAGCTGGGCGTGATGACACACACCTGTAGTCCCAGCTACTCATGAGGCTGAGGCAAGAGAATCGCTTGAACCCAGGAGGCAGAGGCTGCAGTGAGTCAAGATTGTACCACTGCACTCCAGCCTAGGTGACAGAGCGAGATTCTGTCTCCAAAAAAA